GAAACTTTGACGAAAAACTTCATTTAATTGTAAATTATACAAATAAACTCCCATAAACTGCTATTAGTAGCAAACAAATACTTGCAACCAAATCAGTTTTTCATTTTTCAATTTTAGATTAAGTTTATGATTTTTGTATTAAAAGCAAAATATTGAAAATACCAAATCTATTTCTTTTCGTTTCTAATCCTTTTTAATTCCATTTTTGTTTCCTTTCTCCCAAAAAGACAATCTAATAGAACGAACAAATAATTTGTAATCAAAAAATGGAATTCGTTTTTAACAAATAACCAATGCATTTGCAAATAAAAATCTAATTTCAATTTAGAATCTGAAATTAAACCTCAGGTTTTTAAACTGATTATGCATAAAATTAAATGAATTAAATAAATGATGCTAAAACTATTTACTAAATTGCAAGTATAAATAAATGAAAGCGAAAAAAAAGGGAGAAGATAAATTACGCTTAAAAATATTGCTTAATAGTAATCAACTAATTAATTAATTAATGAGTAAAGAACAAAATGTGATTATATCAATACAAAAAAAAAAAACAAAATTTTTCATTTTTCCATAACAATTATTTCCAGTCATTTAATAAATAAACAAAATGATGATTAATTAGTAACATCAAACGGATCATATTTATTCCATATTTGTCAAGCGTAAATCTCTTTGCATACTTATTAGCGCCACTTCTAATAAACATTTAACCTTTGGTATCCTTAAAGTGGTTCAAATTACTTCATCTTTAAGACTAAATGATAAATGCCGCCTGCATTACTGACCATATTTCATCTCAATCCATCAACAACAACAACAATAGCGACAACAGCGACAACCGTGGTGACACGACATTATTTCATTAATGGACAAAATGGACATTCTCATATATAAATTAGGTGTTAAAAGCCAATATTTTTTTGCTTAATTTATTATACATTTTGCAAATAAAAAAAATTTCAATCCAAATATTATTAAATTTATTACTATCTGTTTTTTAAACTTTAATTTTATCAATGATAAAGTTATCATTGATAAGATACAAAATTGACAAAAATTATCGTTCTTTTTTCGTCCTTTTTTTAGAATTTTTATCATAATGTTGATTTAGTTTGAAAAATCACTCAGCATCATTTCTGATTCATTTATCTTATCATTAATCAAATTAATTGGAATAGTTAATTTTAATTGCTATTTTTTTGGTTTCATACAGCTTCTTTTAACGTACTTATTGTTAATTTAATTTTTTATCACTTACTGTTAATTTAATTTGACATAATTGATTACTATTTGACCCTAATCATGGCATTCAATGAATTCATTTTTTAATTATTGTTTTTTTGAGTTTTATCCAATCTTCATTGAAATTTACTACTATAATTTCGTGAATTTCCCTGTTATCGATAAAAGCATTCATATTTAATTATGAATTTTCAATTTAAAATCAATCAAATAATCATTCATAATGATGAGTATGTGTT